CGATGTGTTGTAGAAGTCAAGGGCAAAGAGTATTTCACAGAAGGAGGAGAGGTCCTGTTCATCACTGCTCAGGAGACAAATAACAAGAAAACTCTAAATGTCCACTGGGTTTATGGTCACGGATGTTGCTGAAGACCTTGGCAAAACCCTGGTCAATAGAGGGCTGAGGACAGAAGCCAGTTGGGAAGGAGTGAATGGGAGAGGAGAGAGTAGGAGTGGTGCTTGTCACTAATCCTTGGTGAGGTTTGGCTTTGGAAGGAAGGAGAGAAGGGGTAGCTTGAAAGGAATGGAGGACCCAAGGAAGGCTCGTTTCTAAGACTAGAAGAAGAGACTAAAGCTTGGTTACCTGCCAGTGGGAAGATGCAGGCGAGGTGGAGAGAGAGCAAAGAATTTCTGAGTAAGTGTAAAGGATCAAACAGGTGGAGGGCCCGGCCTCCGGCTGGAGGAGAGGCACGGCCTCCCCTGGAAGAGGAGATATGTAGGAAAGAATGAGTAGAGGGACAGAAAGTTCCCATGTGATAGACTCTGGGTTTTCAGGGGAAGTAGGAGGCACCGAGGTGAAAAGATCTGGATAAGGGGGGAAAGTCAGAGCCTAATGAGAGAAAGGGAAGATGACAAGGAGGCAGTGTTGAAACAACTGAGGTGGGTAACTGAAATTGTGTTCTCAGGCTTCGGCGGCCCAGCGCGAGGGCAAAGCAAGCTGATATTTCTATCATTCAGAACTGGTTTTTAGTCAGATGGGGGTGACCAAAAGACAGTATGGTTTTCAAGGGAGTTGAAAGTGCTTGTTAAAGAGAGATTGTTATCATGAAGCTCTGCTGGATGGAGAGGGAAATGAAAGAAAGGGATGGACAGATGGCTAGCTGGCTGGCTGGCTGGATGGATGGATGGATGGATGGGTGGGTGGATGCATGGATGCATGGATGCATGGATGGACAACAGCTGGTTGGCTGGCTGCCTGGCTGGAGGGATGGAAGGAGGGGTAGATGGAGGGATGAATGGATGGATGGACAAACAGCTGGTTGGCTGGCTGGCTGACGGGATGGAGGGATGGATGGATGGATGGATGGATGGATGGATGGATGGACAGACGGATGGACAGATGGAGAGTGGCAGGACCTACAGCTTGCACGCCTTCATGAAATCAGAGTGTGCAGAGGGTATGCAAGTGATGAGAGGAAACTGTGTCTGGAGAGCAGGATGTCTGAATTAGTGATTTAAGAAATGGAGCCTTTTCAGATAACAAGGCCCAGCACGAAGCCCTGGAGTCAGGGGGCGGGGGGGGGGGAGGGCGAGGCAGAGATAAGTAAGGGAAGAGGACAGCATAGATGAGGAAGGCAAGAAGCCCGGAAAACAGAGGGTCAGTGGTTAGGTGGATGCTAACACTTCTGTGAATGGTGACAGGTGGTGGGACTCCTAGGGGGACATTTCCCCTGGTGCTAAGTCTTTGGAAATAGCATAAAATGAGATCTGTGGATGACAAACAGCATCAATGTATTTGTAGAATACAGCCTCCAAAGCTCTACGAGCTTCAGAAAGGAGAAATTATCTGAGAAGCCAATGACCTGACTTCCCAACAAGAGGGAAAAGAACCAGCCCCAGCAGAAAAGGCCAGGGAAAAGCAGCGCTCTAGAAAACAGCCCAGATTCATTGTGACGGTGGTTCTCATCCCTGGCTACACACTGGAATCACCTAGGGAGGCTGGAAAAGAATAACCATGTCCAGGTGCTACCCCCAGCCTGATAATTCAGAATCTCTCGAGCCTGGGGATTTGCCCCATTTAAAACTCACCAGTAATTCTAATGTGCAAATGGATTTGAAAACCACTGATTTAAAGCAAGAAATTGAGGGGAATTTTGGAGAAGGGATTGCAGATCCAGAGGTTTCAGGATTATGACTGCTAACAGCACGAACGTACACACGGCACTCCCCAGGGGTCCCCCGGGGAACTCACACCCACAAGAAGGTGAATGGTAAGCCTAGCAGACCCCTCGTCTCCCAAGTCCACCAGGCCTTTTTGTCTTAAAGCAGAGTTTCTGATCAAATAACGAAACGTGGTCTTTAAAAGGACACCGTGTGAGTTTACCTTTTTAATCTTCCTCCACACTTTTCCCAGGTGAGGTGGGGGTTGGGGGGGAAGCAGGTATTTTCATCACGAAAACATTTATGGAAGAGTTGGGAGGGGTAGCTCCCAGCACTGACACCAAACAAGCCTCACCTTTCCTCGGTGCCTCCCATCTGACTGCCGGAAAACGTGCTGGTGGGACTGACGTGGAGGATGACAAGAATGACGGCGACACTACTTAACCTTGACAGAGTAGGGTGTGCCAGGCTCTAGACTCAGACTCGAGGTTTACACTCAGCCTCTCATTTAATCCACACAATCTCTGGGAAGTGAGTACATGAATTCCCCTTTACAGGGGAACCCACCGGGGCTTCTGAGAGGTAAGTGACTTGCCCAGGGTCACCAGCTATTAAGTTACATAAGCATAGCCCACCTCCAGAGCCTTCCTCACTCCACTTCATGCCATTTAACTACAAACAGTCTAAATTTCTTTCCAGTTCGTACACTCTGGGACTCTTTAACCCCCATTGGCTTTCTTTCCCTGAAGGAACAGGGGTAGATGGCAGGCTTTGGAAAGGCAGTGGTTCTACTGAAAAGTTAAGGCAGGCTTCTGGTAGCGAGTCTGAGGTGCACAGAAGGGGAAATGACATCATGAGGTTTCATTGGGCAGCCTCCCTACAGGTGCTCCCCTGAGGGCTTTGGGAGAGACACAATAGCTAGCTTTTCTTCCAGCTCTGGGAGCATCTCTCCCCTGGCTGGCAGGTGGAAATGTAATCTCACCTTGTCAGGACCTGATGAAGGGCGCCTCATTGGATGGTGAAACTTTGAGATCTAGCAATTTCCAGGAAGATTCTGGGTGGTATTTAGTAGCCCTGTGAAAGTTAACTCAAATTCTTTTCTTCTTGTATTCCATAATTTAAAATCAGGTAAATTTAATCTCTCGCTTCTTGGCTCAGCGTTACCGCAAATTAAACATCCAAGTATTAACAATGGAAATAATTTCTCTTTAAAAACATATCCCGAAACTCGATGTGGGGCATTTCCAATATATCCATAAAGCAAACAAGACAGCTTAATTGTTTGTTTCTCCAAGGAAAGAAGCTAAACCCGGAATTAATTTGGTTCAGCCTGTGAAACAATTCGTTTGCTCTGCCTAATTCTGCCAATTAAAGAACTTTTCCCAGACACAATTAGCATGTAAAGCAGCGTCAGAGAGCGAAGACGGGGGCCTCGACGATCGGGGCGGGGTGGAGGTGCCAGGCGAGAACCCCCCCCACCCGGGAGAGCCTCTTGGTCTCGACCTTGGGACCGAGGGAGCGCGCCAGGGGCGCACGGACTAGCACCAGCACCCGGTTCGCAGGGACCCTGCTGTCACCAGCCGAAATCCGGGCGTTAAATAGCGCAGCTGAGAATCAAGCCGGCCGGGCCCCGCGAGGGCACTTCCCCCAGTCCCGCCCGGATCCCAGAAAGACGTGGCGGAGACGACCCCCACCCCTGCCGCCGGAATGCGCAGCCGAGCCTGCCGCCCCCCACGCCCCTGTGCACGCTCCCGGAGCCCGCTCGCGTGCTGCGGGGGCTGCGCGCGCACCCAGGGCCGCGCCCCCGCGCCCCCCCGCCCCCCCGCCACCCAGGATCTGTGGCTTTTGCTTGGGAAAGGTGGGGATAGCGGCCCCTGCTGGCAGCTCTGACGAACAGCAGAGAGCCTGACTTCCCTCACCGTTCTCGCCACCTTTTCCAGGTGGTTTGTGGAAAAAAAATATATATGGTAGATACAGGGTGTTGTCGCATGTGCATTTATTCTTCGTGAGTCCTCACGAGCAGCTGTCTGTACGTAACTTGGGTTCCCCGCAGGAACAGCAGAAAAGAGAACATGGGTCCTGGCCCCAGTTAGGGAACAGGTACAGTTTCTAATGCATCTACTTTTGAGGGCACTCGGCCTAAGGGCAAGTGAGACCCCGATCCTCTTCCCAATGCTTTTCTCTGCCGACCGACCCCATGACTTGTAAATACCGCTTGGAGAACTGCTTGGCCGCCCAGTGTTCCTCTCTGCAAAGGCTGTGGCTCCGGGCCCGCACCATCTGCGAAGCCCACTGGGGAACGGGGCGTGCTGGCGCGGCGGGGAGCGAGCAGCGGCACGCGGGAGGGGGACACCGGACCAGTCGGCACAAGCCTGGAACTGCAAGGCTTTCTGGCGACTGCAAGTTCACGCGGCGGAGGAAGGTTGTGGCTGCCATTCTCCGTGTGATCCTAACAATAGCGCCGTGTAAGAAGTTGCGATGTACTTCTTCCACGAAGCTGTCGGATCCTCATTGCGATTGTCTGCGTCTTATTTCTGAAGTTTACTTATTTCTGAGGACAGTCCACACATTTTCTAAGTTTTAAAACAGATTATGGCCGTTGGTGATAACACCATTCTTTGTACTACAATCTACGTGCTTACTTAACACGCTTTATTAACATGTTGAGCTAATAACTGCGTTCATTTCTTCGAGGTGTGTTTTTTTTTAACCGCACCGGCTTTTATCCAATGCATCTGGGTGCACAGAGCGTCCATCACTTCTGGAATCTACCTCTTGACACAGTAATCAGAATTAGAAAGGCTCATCGTTCACTTACCCTCATCCTTTAAAACTTTTCCATTTAAGAAAATCGATGATCAGATCCTTTCTTGTAACTCGCTCCTGCACTACGTCTAATCTTTATTTATTTTTCTGATTTGGCAGGGCTCAGCAATGCTGTCCGGGATTTTTTTTTCTTTTTTTTTTTTTTTCTTTTTTTCCCCCTTGCTAGAGCAGATGCGGGGGTGGGGGAAGCAGGGGCTGGGCTCTAGCCGGAGTCAACCCCACCGGGACCTCCACCCGGAGCGCGGCGAGGGCCGGGACTCGTGGTGGAAGGAGCCTCGCTGGCCAGTCGGTGCGAGGCTCCACCTGCAGCCACAGCGCGTAGCTTCTCCCTCTCTCCGCCACGCTCCCTCACATTCACACACAAACACCACAGCCCTCCTCTGGGTCGGAGGAGACGCCAGCCAAAGGAGGCGGGGTTGCAGGAGGAGAGTCCGCTCTGCGCAATCCAGTCCGGGACTTGGCTCCGCCCGGGAGCCGCGGCCTCTCCAGTGACAGAGGAGTAGTGAGCGGCACCGGGTGAGGCTGCAGCCAACTCCGCTCCCCGCGCACTCGGCCGCCCAGGCGCTCGGGACTCAGCAGCGGCGCTTCTCCGCGGGGCCGACCGCCCGCAATGCCCGCTTAGGAGCAACGGCAGCGGCCAGCATCGCCACACCCGGGCAGCAGCGCTCGCGGTCGCAGAGCGGGGGGTACAGCTTGCCCCCTGCCCCAGCCCCCACCCCGCCCCCCACCCTGAAATGACTTGTTAATCCGCGCGGACACCACCGAAGGGACTCACCGGAGTGGAATCCAAGTGGAATTTGGATTTGGAGAAGAGTTTCTTGAACATTTACTCCTTCCTTGTTGGTTTTTTTTTTCTTTTCTTTATTTTTTTCCTCTCCCCTTCTGCGCCTGTCATTGGAGATGAACACAGCGCGTTTGCTTCCCAGAAAGTAGTCGCCGCGACTGTTACCCCCAAAGAGACGAACACACATGTAGGAATGACAAAGGCTTGCAAAGGAGAGAGCGCAGCTTGCGGCCCGGAGAGATCTCCTCGATAATGGATTACTAAATGGGATACACGCTGTACCAGCCCGCTCCGAGCCCCGGCCGCCTGCCCGTCGATGCACCGAAAAGGTACGGCACGGGCGCCCCGGCGCGCCCCACCTCCCTGGCGGCTCGGCTGCGGCCAGCGGGTCCCGGGGCCGCGGCCGGCACGCGCTGTCCGCTTTGTGGTAGCTGCGTTTTATTTTGTCTGGTGTCTGTCTCCCGAGCGTTGCCCGGCCCTTGGGAGCAGTAGTGAGCCCAGCCCGCCGCTCCTCTCCGCCCTGTGCCCGGGAGACCGCCGGGCTCCGCGTCGCGAGCTTTCCCACCCGCGCAGCGCACACGCCCGGGCGCCGCCCGGGACCGCGACCGCGCGGTGCTGCGTGGCTGGGGAATGTGTGTGCAGGACCCTGGGCTCGTCCTCACTTTCGGGCCAGCAGGGAGCAGAGAGGCCCCGAGAGGGTGGGATTCTCAGCAGCGCCTGGTTCTAATGCAAAGGCTGGGGAAAGGGTTGTGCCCTCGAGGGCTGGAGGACGTTGGGTAGAAGAGCGCTGTTTTCGCCCAGCTCCAGGTTTGGGTTGTGTGGTGGGAGAAGGGGTTCCGCAGAGAAAGCGAAGAGAATCTTTTGTTGTCCGCTCGGGGTCCGGGCTGGGCTCTGTGGAGTGCGGGAAACTTGTAATGGCCCTGGTACCCGTGCGTCCTGCCACTTGGTGACATCCCGGCTTTTGCGGCCGCTGGCACCAGAGGTTCCCGGCTTTGTTTGCTCGAATGAGTGCCCAGGAATGGTCTCCCCCCGGGGTGGCGCGGCACCCCCGCCCTGGGTCCTCTATCCCCCCGCTGCAGCTCCCTTCTGGCCGGCGAGGACAGCATCTGTCGCGGCTCCGTCCCCCTCTAGTACAGAGCCCGCCACGCTGAGACTGGCGCCCGCTGCGCTCTCCCCCCAAATCTACGGGGTCCCTCTACGGAAAGGAGTTGTCTCTGGAGGGGGAAGGGTGGAAAGCCTTGCAAAGGATGACCCAGTGCTGTCTACCCAGGCAAGGGCTCTGCCCGGGCCCCAGATTCTGGATGTCCGAACTACTCGCCGCGTCCTAGAGAGCTGCCTCGCGGGCAGTGGGGCGCTGGGGAGCTAGCCCGACAGTGCCCACCCTCCCTGTATGACTCCGCTGGGTGGCAAGTGTCTCTGCTCCAGATTCTCTGCTTTTTTTTCTCAGCTCCCCACTGTGGTATACGCTGCAAAGCAGAATCCTGAGGTCCGCTCTCTCCTCCCACGACCCGAGCGGTACAGGGGGAGCCAGGGAGCAGTCCCGAACTTGCGCGTTTCGGGAAAGGAAACAGGATTCCGCTGTCTTTCCCTTTCCTTCGCCGCCTCGCCACCCCTCCGCCCAGCGCCTCCTCCTTTTCCAGCACCGGGTCACTCGACCTGGCGCTTCTGGAAAGTTTCTCTGAAAGCCAGGGGCGGCGGGCACGACGGGACTGGGGCTCAGCGTGTGCAGCCCGCGGGAAACCGAATCCGGAGGGAAGCGGGTGGACCGCCCAGGACGTGAGGAGTTAGATGCTGGTCCACAGACAGTGGCTCCCCGGTCCAGCAGTCAGTTGGGCTGGGGTCTCAGCAATGCACTTGCTGGTCCAGCCGAGAAAGCGGTGGCGAGGCGGAGGGAAGGGAAGTTCAGGGGCAGGATTCAGGATGCTGGGGCGGCCACTGGACAGCGGCTGGCGCGCGGATGAGTGTGGACACGGGGCCGGGACTCGCTGGCTCGTAAGCCCCAGTCCCAAGTGCAACATCCCCAGCCAACCCCACCCACCCCCCGTGCCCTGCGCATTTTTCCAACGGGCAGATTTCCAGGGAGGAACGGAACAGGGAGCCAGGTGTTCCTGGAGCAGGGGAGGACCTGCTGTCTTCACAGCCAAGGAAAGCACTTAACAGCAGAGGCCTCCGGCCTGTATCGCACTACGCAGCTCCAACGGCCATTCCAGTCGGTCCTTGGGAGCAAGGTGGATGCTTTGAAAATGCGTGGCCACTCATGGCCATGGTGGGATCGCTCTCTGCTTATGGGATCGCTCTCTGCTTATGCTGGATGGAAATCAAGTTGCTACTTACTGACTGTGATCCGTGAAAAGGTTTAAAACACAGGCGAAGGCAGACACACACACACACACACACACACACAGGCAGATGGGTACACTTGTACGCACAACTTTCTTTGCCTCAAATCTGAAAAGATGTTTAACCCAGGTGCAGTATTCTGCCAGCAGGTCTCAAGAAAGCTATGTAATGCCCCCCAGCGCTGGTTTTTTAAGTCTTTCCCGGGTAGGAAGGTCGAGTGTCTTCGCCTTGTTTTTCTCTAATCCTGGTAATTGTCGGGCTTCCTTCAGACATACATCTTGGGCATCAAGTCCACTCTGATGGCAGGGGAAAGACTGTTGGTTCCAGATACATGAATCCTTTATTTAGGCTTTTCCCCCAGAGTAAAGATGCCTGGGCTCAATTCTGAATGAAAATACTCTATTTTTACACCTTATCCAAATGGCTATGAGAGGTCAAGATTGCAAGCATTTTGTATATTTTTTAATACCCTGTTTAGTCCGCATGGAGCAGTTTTATGATTTACAGTAAGCTTTGATTAAACTACTCCAGGCACCAAAGTTAATTATTAACCTAACCTTAAATACTGTGGCGGAACTGAGTCTCCACCTATTAACCTAAACTATCTGTTAAAAAATAATTGCACTATTTGAATTTGGTTTACCCATGCTTGTTGATATGGTGACTTATTTGACTCTTGAATAACCCCCACTCTGTATTATCATTTTGGTTTTAGGATATTCTTGAATGAGGCACTTTGCAAACCAATCCGAAAGCAGAAAAGAATGGAGTATCAGGTTTAAAACCTCATTTCTGTGTTATGTCTTTTTTCAAATGGATAGAAAGGGAGCACTCCAGTTCCTGTTTATTTACAGTGTTTGTGTGGTGACAGTCTTCCCAAAGTGTTGTGTGTTGCAACTATCACCCTGTAGAGATGGGCCATACTCTTCAATAATGCATATAATGCACATATTTAAATTTTAAGCAGCCCCCCAAAAATCAATGTCTCAGGAGCCATCTGCAGTATATACTTACTGGATAAAACATCTACATTTCAATAGGTTAAAAATTCCTAAGAACTGGAGTAGAAACCAAGTAAATATTGAATAAATGAATGAAAGAAAGGGTCACACATCATTCACATTTCTCCACTTAGAGTGGACCTGTCGTTTTCCCCCCTACAGTGGCTTCAAGTGAGTGGATCTTATAAAGTGGCAATAAGTGCAACTCTTTATTTACACACACAGTGACACACATACACAAACACACAGCCCTCAAGTTCTTTCCAAGTCTAGTGAATGCTTTTCCCATCATTAAAAAAATATAGCATTTGCATTTTGAGTAGGCGGATAACATTGCTTAGTATGTTGAATCAGAAGGATAGCAAGAATTAGAAGACTGTTATCTTCACTGAATAAAAATAAGCCACCCAAATTAAGAACTTGTATTAAATTCAAAATAAATACTCATGCCTTAAAAGCAAATGGGTAATTGCACTCCCATATGAAATAGAAGGAAAAATACTGTTTTGAACAAGGAGGTAAGGCAGATACTTTACTATGTGTACATAATGGTTCAGCTCTTTTCTGAGCAGGATAAAAGAGTGATCACGGGAGAAGAAGTTTTTTAGAACTAGATTGCCAAAAGTGAATATATTCTCCCATCTTATTTGTTTGCAGAAAGGAATCACAGAACAAGCCAAACTAATTGCAAATGCTTTAATTAAGCATCTGCCGTTTGCAACAGCATAAAGCCTGAGAGAGGCTTCCTGTATCTCTGGCCGAGTGGTCTAAGGCACCAGACTCAAGCTTCGCTTCTCTCTGCCTCCCCTGCCCCAGGTTGAGAAAATTTATTATCCTCCTCTCAGAGGGGGTGTTCCTTGGGTGTTCCCACTTCCAGAGGAAGGTGGAGCCTGGGAACACCCTCCCGGATCAGTGTCCCCCACTCTTTTGAGGGACCCTGGAGCCAAGTTGTCTCGGAGACATTTCCATTCCAGAGTGAAGGCTTTTCTCATCAACTGCTGGCAACCACACTGGTGGCCTCCTGGGGATATGGTAAGGGAGGGGAGGGGAGGGAGGGAGGCTTTTAATCCCTCTGAAATGGGCAAGTAAGATGTCATACCACACAAACCTCAAGGGGAGAAGGGCATACAGGATACTCCTCAGCATGGGACTATTACAGTAGAGCATATACACAAAGGGTATCCTGCTTTGCGAAGCAGGTGAGTTCTTGCAAAACTTCTTGATTAGAGTAATTCTAATTACACTAATGGAGAGTGTCCTATACAATAGTGTCAGGACTCGCCACAGTGTTTCCCAGGTAACCTCTTGAGCCCAGACCTCTCTCTCCTGGGTCTCTCAAATAGTAAATCCTACAGGGTAGGTAGCTCTTCTTGGCTCTAAAAGGCATCTCAAACTTAACATGTTCAGAGCACCAGTTCTGGATCTCTTTCCCCCAGGTATGCTTTTCTTATCATCTTCTCCATCTTGGTAAATGGTAGTGCCATCCTTGGAGTTGCTCACATGTGAAAACTTCAGGAGTTACCCTTGACTCTTACTGCAGGCCCCCATCCACCCCAGAGGCCACGGGGCTGGCCTCGCCTTCTGAGAGCACGCAGGCCTCCTCCAACTCTTCCTCCTCTGGGGCCCTCACCTGGCTGAGCCACAGGGTTGCTGTGCCCGCCTCCCAACTAGTCCCCTTGCTTCACTCTTGGCCCCCTACAGACTGTGCTCAACACAGCAGCCAAAGTGATTTTTTTTTTTTTTTTAAATCGAAGCCAGATCAGATCACTCCCGCTCAGATGCTTTCCCATCTTCTTCCAATAGAGAAGCCAAAGTCTGGCCTACATCCTTCCTGGCCCTCTGCGATCTGCGCTCCTGTCCCCACCCCTCGGATCTCCACCCCTCTTCGGGGTTACATGCATATGCCCGGCGTGTGCTCTTCACCCTCGCCCTTCCGTGGCCTGGGATGACTCCTTCCCCGGACTGCTGTGTGTTTTGCTCCTCACACA